TTGTGTGCTCTTTATTATTAATATAAACCAGTTTTGCAGTGCTTTGCAGGACACAAAGCTGCCTGCTGCCTGGCTTTCCTCCCACCAGCAGCAGGGTGTGAAGGCCAGTGGCTGGGGCATCCCTGCTGCAGGGTTTGTGTTCTGGATTTTCTTCCTGCTGCAGGGTTTGTGTTCTGGATTTTCCTCCTGCTGCAGAAAGTGGTGGATGTTCCAGGAATGGGATGAGCCTGCCCGTGCCCGACTGAATGCCAGCCCTCCCACATCCTCTGGAGTGGGTCCTGAATCTCCTGGTGTTGAAGAGATGGCCATCAGCCCTCTTGCCTGCTGCTGTCCCTCTGGTCTGGGGCAGAAGGGCCATGTCTGCCCCTGCCAGGACAGAGCAGAGGGGCTGAATCCCTGCCTGGGGTGACGGCTGCTCTGTCCCTCTCATCATGAGCCACTTCACCAAACCCATCTCACTGAGTTTCATCTTCTTTTTTGGGTGCAAGCAGCTTTTCCTGGTCACTCTGAGTGGCTGCTCTGAGTCCTTATGTTGAAGGACCAATAAAACTCACCCTTCAAGGAAAAAAAGAAAAAGAATAGGATGTTTTTCCTGCCTTGCTATTGAGCCAAAGTGGCAAAGAAAGTTGTCAGGGAGATGCTCTGTCTGGCAGCAGGATGTACGTGATGAACTTCCCTCTGCTCTGTGGGATAATCCCATCAGGAAAAGAATTCCTGTCAACATCTAAGGATGCCCTCACGGGCTAAACAAGGTATTACAGCTTGAGTGTTGAACTTGGACTTCTTGGTGGGTTTTATTTTATTTTGTTTGAGAAATACTGATTTTTAGCTAGATTTCTCCCAGATGCAGTAGGAGCTGACTGTGAGTGTTGCTGCAATCAGTTTTGTTTCTCTGAGGAGCAGGAGCACCCTTCAAGGTGAAGTGGGAGGTCAGAAGTGGGTCAGGACCAGCAGCTCTTGTTTGTGGATGTACCAGTGGGTCTAACTTCTCTCTCTGAGGTTAAATAATAGCGCCTGAGGGTGCCCAGGTCAGGATAAAGAAGAAATAGGTGCCTTGAAAGCCTAGGGAAAAAACGCTACTAATCTTTTTTACAAATCTTGCAGGTGTACATTCTGTGCTATTAGTCTATAACAATCCCACAAAACACAGAGTTTAAGCTATATATCAGTTATATTAAGAGTACTACAGTGCATCATCAACATAGGTGAAACACTCACCATGCTAAAGCTGAGCGTGATGGTGTCACCCATGTAAAACATCCCTGAGCACAGTTCAGAGGATTAGCAGCTGAATCAAGGAGGAGCAACTGGTGAGCAAGGAAAGCCAGCTCCCTGTTTAAGGAGAACCTCAGCACTGGAGAAATCTCTTGCCTTTAATTGTATCTGAGAGTGTAATTGCATCTTCGGCCCCAACAGATCTAAAATCAATCTGCCTGAGGAGTGACACAAAGGCATGGGACTTTAACGAGTGACACAAAGGAATGGGACTTAAACTGATGTTTATCTCTGGTCACTGAATACAGGGATCTCGTTCTACATAATGTACATATAAATAATAGAGCAGCCCCTGCAAGGAGAGCCCTCCCAGCTCACTCTGGAGGGTTGGAGATGAGCACCCTGCATCTGTCCCTGGAATTCCACTGGGCATATTGCTAATCTTTAAAGAAGAACACAGCTTTTGAAACCTATAGAAAAAAATTAACTGTGATGTTACCATTTTCCCTAAAAAAAAAAATCTCCTCTTTGATAAAAAAATGTTTTGCAAACAGCTTTTAGCTGTCATCCTTTGATTTGGACCCTAGTTATTTCTATTTAGTGAGGTGATGAGTAAAATCTTAATTTCTCATCCTACTTTAGCTTTTCCCACTTGCTTTTGGCGCATGAGAGAATTATGAATGTTAGCCCAGTGTGATTTTCACTTTCTCTTTATTCAGCCATGCAATCACTAGAGGGAGGCAGATGGTAAATTTATCTATCCTAAGCTCTCAGACAATCTGTGGTGCCTTATAAATGACAGCAGAACAGCTGTAAGTAGGAGCTCCTGGTATATCATGCTGCCTAGGGGGGAGATTTGAACACTTGCTGAAATCAGCTTAATTTTGTTGACTGTCCACGCTGGCAGCCCCCAAGGCAGCTGTGTCCTCCTCAGCAGCTGTGGAGCTGCTTGGCTCCTGAAGGCCATGCTGGGTCCCTCAGCTCATCCTGGGGTGATTCAAACCCTCCTGAGAAATCAGGGGTGCAGGAGCTGGTAGAAAGGCTGTGACATTCCATTTGGGGATTTTGGCCCCGTGGTGCAGAATTTGTGCAGCTTGGCCCAGGCCAGTGTGGATGTGCCTACGAGATCCCCAAGAGATGCTCCTGGGCCAGGTGACCCCAAAATAAGAATCAGCAACTGCTGAACGTGAAGATTTAGTCAAAAGGGCCAAACATCCTAATGGGTATTTTATGTTTCTATGGAGATTGCCTGAAAATAAAGACTTGCTACCGAACAAACAAACCACATTAAGATTCCTCACTCAAATATTTACATATCAACACATAAAAAATAAACTTGGCCTTAGCATTGATTTCACCATCCTACCACCTGTTAAGCTTAATCTAAGCAAATGCTCCTCTTCTCCTCATGAACCAGAAGATCCCTTAAGGACCTCCCTGCTATGCAGCAGAGTTCCCTTCCAGGGTTTCCATCCTGGTAGCACAACAGTGTTCAGTGCTCAGGAGGGCAGACCTCACCTACTGGAGTTTACACCACCTGGACACACATGAGTCTATGGCCTGTGGATAGTGTCTACCTAAACTTTATTAAAGCCTTTGATTCCATCTCCCAGAGCATTCCCCTGAAGGAACTGACTGCTCCTGGTATGGACAGGTGTACTCTTTGCCAGGTAAAAAACTGCATGGCTGGGCCCAAAAGAGGGGTGGAGTCACCGTGGATATCCTGAGTTGGAAGGGACTTACAAGGATCATCAAAGTCCATCTCCTGGCCCTGCACAGAGCAGCCCCAAGAATTCCACCAAGTGCCTGTGAGTGTTGTCCAAACACTTCTTGAACTCCATCAGCTTGGTGCTGAGACCACAGCCCTGGAGAGCCTGTTCCAGCACCCAACCACCCCCTGGGTAAAGAACCTTTTCCTGATATCCAACCTACACCTCACCTGACACAGCTTCAGAGGCGTTCCCTCAGGTCCTGTCACTGGTCACCAGAGAGGAGAGATCAGTGCCTGCCTCTCCTCTGCCCCTCCTGAGGAAGCTGTAGCTGCAGCGAGGTCTCCCCTCAGTCTCCTCCAGGCTGAACAGTCCAAGTGACCTCACCCACTCCTCACACAGCTTCCCCTCCAGACCTGTCACCTTCCCTGTGGCCTCCCTTGGACACTGTCTAACAGCTTTATATCTGTTTTATATCATGGCACCCAGAGCTGCCCCAGCACTCGAGGTGAGGCCGCCCAGAGCAGAGCAGAGCAGAGCAGAGCAGAGCAGAGCAGAGCAGGACAATCCCCTCCCTTGCCCGCCTGGGGATGCTGTCCCTGATGTCCCCCAGGACACGGGTGGCCCTCCTGGCTGCCAGGGCTCTGCTGGCTCATGTTCAACTTGCCATGGACCAGGACCCCCAGGTCCCTTTCCATGGCACTGCTCTGCAGCCTCTCATTGCCCACTCTGCACATCCCAGGTGCAGAATTTGCCACTTGCCCCTGTTAAACTTCACAGGGTTGGGGACTGCCCAGTCCTCTCAATTTGCTGAGGTCCCTCTGCAGCCTCTCCCTGCCTTGGAGGGAGCCAACAGCTCCTGCCCTCGTGCCCTGTCTGAGCTGGCTCAGGGTCCCTCCCAGTCCTGTGTCCAAGTCTCTTATGGAGATGTTGAAGAGCACAGGGCCAAGGATGGAGCCCTGCAGGAGCCCAGCAGTGACAGGTCCCCAGTCTGATGTCACCCCGCTCACTGCAGCCCTTTGTGCCCCAGCCTGACTCACCCATGCCAGGATGAGTTTATCCAGCTGGGGATGGACATTTTGTCCAGAAGGATCCGATGAGAGACAGTATCAAAAGCTCGACTGAAATCCAAAAGTGAAACATCAAGTGGCTTCCCTTGGTCAGCTGGGTGGGTCACCCTGCCAGAAAAGGAAATCAGGTTTGACAAGCAGCACTTTCCTGTCATGGGGCTGTGCTGGCTGTGACCGAGGAGTGCATTGTCCCTCAGGTGCTCTTCAGTACCTCCCAGAAGAATCTTCTCCATCATTTACCAGCCACTGAAGTGAATGGGTCAGGCCTGAAGTTTCCAGGGTCGTCCTTCTTGCCCTTCTTGAAAACTGGGACAATGTTTGCCAGCTTCTGGTTAGCTGTGGCCTCTCCAGATTCCCAAGACAATTCAAAAATCATGGGGACAGGCCTCACAGTGACATCAGCCAGCTCTGGAGTGTTCTCAGGTGAATCCCAGCAGGCCCCACAGACTCATGGAGCACTGGAATGGTCCTCAGGGCTCAGGTCAGGGCACTGGGAGCCCCTTACCCCATCAGTGGTGTTGGGGACAGAGACAAAGAAAGCATTAAACATCTTTGCGTTACGGCCTCGTTTGTGAGGTGACCATCCTCATCCTGTACCAGGCTGATGTTATTTCTGCACTGGTTTTTGATATTAATGTATTTTTAAAGCCCTGTTTTTATGGTCTCCCACAGCTCTGGGCAGCTTCAGCTCCAGCTGAGCTTTGGCCACACAAATTTTCTCTCTGCAGTGGTGAACAGCACCTCTGTATTCCTCCCGTGTCACCTGAGCTTGCTTCCACTGGACATACACCTTCCTTTTTTTGCCATACTTCCAGAATAAGATCCCTGCTCAGCCAAGCCAGCTTTTTATCTTGTCTGCTTGACTTCTGATATTTGGAAATTTCCTGTTCCTATGCCCTTAGGAGGTGATATGCTTAAAAAGTGACCAGCACTGATGGACACCAGCACCTGTAAAAACATTTTCCCAGGGAACCTTACCCTCTGCTTCCCTGAGCAGCCTGAAGTCATGTCCGGGGTTGAAGTTTTGCTGGCACTTTTCCTTAAACTCGATGGTTTTGTGATCACTGTGGCCAAGACAGCCACCAATGCCCCTTTCACTCATGAGACCCTCTCTGTGAGCAAGAGCAAATCAAGGAGGTAATCTGTCACCTCTCTTAGTACCTGTACCATGAAATCATCATCCAGGTGTTTTAGGAATTTTCTGAAGCTGTTTGTGCCAGCTGTGCAGTGTTCCCAGCCAACATCTGGCAAGCTGAAGTCCCCCATAAGGCCAAAGGCTCCATACCTGGAGGGATTTCAGTCCTGTAGATGTGGTGCCCAGGGGCATGGCCCCGTGTTGGGCCAGGCAGTATTTGGTTAATGGTTGGACTCCATCCTCTCAGAGTGATTTTCCAAGATTCTGTGCTAAGTGAGAAAGGGGTTTTGCAGGTCTGGCCACACCTGGACGGCAGGAGGGGACTTGGGGTCACTTTGAACATGTGTGGTTATGGAGAGATGTCTGTGGAGGAAAAGGTTTGTCCTGCTGCAAGAGTTACAGACCCTCACTGGCCTTTTGGTCATTGGGACTGCAATGGGGAGCATGGAAAAGCTTAAAAATTGTGAGCTGGGAAGCAGTTGCTTGCTCCAATACAACTGAAAACCCAGGCAGCTGGGACAGTCTGATGAACTGCTTGATTTGACCCCAAAAACCCCTTGGGGGTGTTTGTCCCTGAACATCCATCATCCTATCAGGCTACAATGAACAGGAAGGAAAAAAAAAAAGGAAGTTTTTTTAGTTTGCTAAATGACGATTGACATTTTAAAAGCAATATTGTCAAAGCTGCATGTCAAACAGCCTAATTGCCTAATCTGTGTGGCTCCTAATGACAAGTTAGACCCTTACAGCTGAAAGAATTTTAAGCATCTCATAATTTATACATCATCACCTGGGCTATTTGCTTTCCATGCTTCAGTAAATGTAGATAAGGAGGGAAATTCGAGGCAATTTCACCTGTTTCACTCAGTCCTGTCTCAGGATGGTGCAGCCCTGGGGGAAATCACAGCCTTCAGCTGAAGCTGGTTAAAATGTTGTGATGAAAACACTCACTTTTACATTAGGATTCTTTTTTCCCCCACTCTTTCTTTTGTTAGACAACAAACAACTTGGGCTCTGCTTCTGTGTCACACTGGGATATCAGCACCACTTTAATTTCAGGTCAGAATATTATGTGTTATAAATGGAAAAATGTTTTTACCCAAATACCCAGCACAGAAACAACACTTGGGCAGCAAACTGAAAGGGCAAATCTGTCCCTAACAAGCTGTAGCTGGCCTCATTTCATTGATTACCTAATTGCTATTAGCTAATTGCTGGCACTGGTGAAGCAGGGCCCTATATGAGTGGGTGGGCTGCCAACCCTTTGCTGTAGGGATGTGGTTTGGGGAGGGTCTGGGAAAAGCAGTGACCCCACATTTGCTCTGCCTGAGGGATTATTTTGGGGAGGGACAGGGAGGGGTTTTGTTGGTTTTTTGTTTGTTTGGGGTTTTTTTTGGTCTTATTTAATGTTGTGGCCCTGGTAAACCCTTACCATGAGGCCTTTGTCCTCCCCATTTATTCTGGCCCTGCTCTTGATGCCTTGGGTGCTGGGGCCAGCCCCTGCTGGGCAGGGTCCTGGGGTGATGCTGGGGCCCTGCTGTGGTGCTGCTGCTGCAGGGGTGAGTGAGGGGACCTGGGGACTTGACTCCCTGTAGGAAGCTCCTATTTTGGGTGTGGTGTCCTGCCTGCTTGCAAATCCTTCTCCCTTCTGCACGGCCCTGAGGGATTAAAGCCTGCCTGACTTTGCTTGTTGTATTTTGGGGCTGGATTTTGTATTGGCTGTGGTCCAACAGCACAAATCAGGCAGTGCTTCTGGATGTAGGGAGGGGAGAAGGTTTATAATCACATGGAATAAATGATGTGTCCTTGGGACTCAGTCCAGGTGCAGGCAAAACCCCAATCCACCAGGCTGGGTTTGGTTCTCCCTTCCCACTGGTGTTGGCATTTCTCTGAGCAGTGTTATAAACATTGGGAATTGGCATTTTGGCCTGCAATTGGACTATTTTCTTTTTTTTTTTTTTTTTTTTTTGTAGTCAAGGGGATCCTCTCAGGAATACTGGAGAGTGAAATCAGGTAAGAATTAGTTCTCAGATCAGGCTCTGTGGTGTTTTTTTGGGTTTGGTGGTGGTTTGGTGTTTTTTTGTTTGTTTGTTTTTTCCCCTCTGGAATTTGTTGGGTACTTCAAGGCACCAATAAGTAGTGTGGAAAATCAGGAGTGACAATCTAGCTGTGGGGTGGTGTGGAGAAGGGAGTGGGATGTGGCTGATCAGTACTGAGTGCTGGGGTTAGGAAAAATCTGTGCTGCTGTGGGAGATAACCTGTGCCACTGTCCTGTGGCCGCCACAGAGCAGGTCCTGCAGGCAGGAGCAAAGCACTGCAGCAATTAAAACAAGTGGCGAAAGTTCAACCCAAACATCAAGTGTGCTCCTGTAGGGCAAACCTGTCCTGAACTTGCCACTCTTCTGGCTTTGAGGAAAGTGGTTTTGGAAAACACTGCTTTTCCCTGCCTAAGGAAAGCTGCTTTCCACCTTGAGTGCTGTGGGGAGATACTAATGTTGGGGCTCTAATGGCTTCTGGCTTGGCTGAGCCCTCTAAACCCAAGAGATGGAAAATGCCTCCAGGAGAGCTTTGTCTCCCAGCCCTGCAGGTGTATGAACAACAAACCTGGCCCACAGGCTGAAACCAAACGTAGCAGGGCTCTCTTTGCTTCTGTAGCTCTCCCAGCTGGGGCAGCTCCCTGAGCCTTCAGCCTTGCTCCCTGGACAGCCTGACCCTGCAGAGGAGAAGCTGCCTCCCTGGGACAAGTGGCACCCACTGTGTGCCTGTCCTGGGACCTCTGTGCTGCTGCACGGCCATGGGGGGCTAAAAGCACGAGTGTGCCCTGCTCTGGGGCTGTAGCAGTGGGGGCACAGCCTGGCTCTCCACGGAGCAGAAGATGGTGCTGGCCAGGCCTTCTCTAGCTTTCCAAGGGTTTACTCCCACGTTTTCCCACTGATGGGTTTGTGCTGGTTGGCAAACAGGAGCAGGAGGTGCCAAAAATGGGGGGAAGAGGGATCCTGAAGATAATTTCTGGAGATAAAGATGGTAAATATTTCTTTGGAAGTGGAAATGGGGGAAAACTTGGTTGTTGCTTCTTGTCTTCCAGAGCTGGAATCGCCTTGGTTATTGGCCTATGTGCCTATAAGAAGCTGCCACAGAGTGCTGAAGGACAAATATGGGGAGTTTTCTCCTCCAGCACTCCATGCTGATTTCCCTGTAAGCTCTTGGTGCAACTGGACAATCTGGGCAGGCTCCAGGAAGCACATAATAATTTATATCCAGGGATTCGTCGCTAAGGATGCTTGCAACAAAAATGAGGACAAAATTCTGTTTGAAGGAGTCTCCTCCCTGGTGGAGAGCAGTGTTGTTTATGCCTGCTGGGAAAAGGAGATGCATGTTTTTGCCACCTTTGCTCAGGCTGTCCATGTTGTGCTGCTGAAGAGGTACTTGCCAAACCAGAGAGGTGCACGATTTAAAGGGAAGTACTACATCTTCCAAGACCAGCAAGGTGCCTCTGCCTCCAAAGATCATGCAGGTTCTGGAACTTCTGCTTCCAAAGTGCTGAAGAAAGGTGGTGTTTTTCAGTCTGGCTGGGTTGAAAACCTTCCAGAGACACTGGGCTTTGCAGCCACACGTGGCAGCAGCACTGTGCAGGGAACAGGGATCACTCTGGGCACCACGGCTGTGGGAAGTCCTACAGAGCTGATCCCATGTGAACGTGCAAGGACACAGGCTCTGGAAACAAGAGCTGCTTGTGGGCTGGGCTCTGAGCTGCTGGAGGCTCCAGGCATAGGAGCACCTGAGGGAATAATCCCCACTGCAGCACAGGACTCCTGGGGGCAGGATCTCCCTGTGGGTGAGGACACTGCTGGGAGTTCTGCTCCTGTGCACAGCATGCTTTTGGAAACTCCTTTGCTTGGTGCCTTCCAGGGAGCAGACCCTTCTTGGCAGCCAGCAGGTGTGAGCCTGGAGAGCAGCCAGCCTGTCCTGAGCCCTACCCTGAGGCCCAAAGGTCTGGGCCATGAGCAGTTTACCATTAGACCAACAGGCACGGGTCACCTGGACTTGGCTGCACACTCTGAGCCTCTGTCCCCTGGCACAGGGAAAGGCCAGGAGGGCACAGGTGCCCCCAGGGACAAGCAGCTCAGCACAGCCAGCCTGGAGAAGGATGGAAGCCGTGCTCTGCTGAGTGTCCCAGCTGATGGCCTTGCCAAGGGCCTGATGCCCAGCCTGAGGAGCCCCTCTGATGTGGTTACCAGGGACCACTTGCAGCTGCTTCCTGAGAGAAGCCAAAGCAGTCTGGGGCTTTTGTCCAAGCCTAAACCTGAGCTAGGCACAACTGGCCTCCATCATACCAGGCTCGTGGATATTTTCCCACTGGGAAGTTTTGGGGGAGCTGCCAGGAGGAGAACAGGGCTCCATCCCACAGCACCAGGGCTGGCTGAACCTGCTTTGGCAAGAGGGCTGGAGCATCCTCTCACACCTGTGCCTGCCCTGGGGACAGAACACATCCCTGTGCTGCTGACCTCCTCCACAGCGCCTGTCCCTGCAGACTTTGGCTCTCTGGATTTAGTCCCTGAAGCGCCTCTCCCTCCACAAGTGGAGTCTCTGTCCATGGTGGCCACTCCAGCAGCTGCTCTGGACTGGGCCCCTGGCAGTCTCAGGCAAAGGGACATCTCCCCAGCTAGCCCAGCAGGAGAGATGGCCTCCCCTTCACCACCTTACCATCCATCAGTAGCCTCTCAACTGGGCACAGATGGGTCCTCCAGCTGCCTTGGCCCTGGGATGCAAAAGCTGGTGCTGGGACAGGCAAGTGGCCAGAGAGGTGAAACCACAGCCTCTGTGGGCTTGATGGCCAGGAGTCCCTCCCCAGTCTTTGTCACTGTCCCAGGGCCTGGTGTGAGGCTTGCTCAGCCTGAGGGCCATGTCAGCAGAGGCTCTGGGGCGACACCAGCTTCCCTGTCTGACACCAGAGAGGTGCATGAGGTGCCTGTGCAGCATCAGGACAGTGCTGCTAGTGACAAACCAGCTTCTGTCTCCAGCTTCAGGATGTTTAAAATGCAGGGAACCACAGAAGCTGTGCACGTGGGTGCAGGACAGAGAACAACTGCCTCCTTCAGCACCACTCCTGCACACCCTGCTCTGCCTGCAGCTCTGTGGGGAGAAACACTGCCAAGAGACCAAAAGCCTTGGGAGCCCTCTGGTGTAGCCAGGAACACCCAGGTGCCAGAAGGACAGCAAGGGAAACATGCTGGTAGGTGTTCCAGCACTTTGTGTCTCGGCACAAACCAAAAGTACTTGGTGGGAGCAAGGACAAGGCTGTGCCTTGTCTCCATCTGGGAATCCTAACCTGCTGTCTGGGGAGAACTGGGCTGGGGTGACCCTGGCTGGACACCAGGTGCCCTCCAAAGCTGCTTCTCAGCAGGACAGGGGAGAGAAAATGTGATTAAAGGCTTGTGCGGTAAGATAAGGGCAGGGAGAGATCACTGACTGCCTACCATCATGGGCAAAACAGACTTGGGGAAATCAGTTTAATTTAATACCAATCAAATCAGTGTAGGATGATGAGAAATCAACCCAAATCTTAAAACCAATTTCCCTTCAGCCCTCCCTTCTTCCCAAGCTCCACTTCAGTCCTGGTTTCTCTACCTTCTCCCCTGCCTCTGGGAAGGGCAGGAGAATGGGACCTGCAGCCATTTCATCACCCCGTGTCTCAGCACTCCTTCCTTCTCAGGGGAGGACTCCTCACTGGCCTGTGCAGTGCTGGGCCCACCCTGGAGCTGGCTGGCACTGGCCCTGCTTCATGCAGCCCCTCACAGGGGCTCAGCTCCAGCTGAGGTGTGGCTATGTGGCTCCCGGGGCTGGAACTACAGAAATCTTGTAGCAGGAGAGGCTCTGAAATGCTGCCTCTCCTGTGGCAGTTTGTGTAATATAAACTGTAATATGTGACACAATTTGTGAATATGATAAGCTTTGCATGTTTCTTTTCTGTGTTCCAGAGGTGTTAGAGCTGGGCCCTCCCTGGGTAACCGAGTACTTTCCCATCAGGAGCTGCCACCTCATCTTGCAGGGTGGGTCTGGCCTGTTCTACCTCCCCCTGCACACTGACATCAAACCCAGCATCTGGTGCAACTGGACCATCTGGGCAGGCCCCCAGAAGCACATTGTCATCTATGTCCAAGGGTTCCAGGGCAGCCATGGCTGTGGCCACAACCAGGACAAGATCATCTTCCAGGGGGTCTCGTCCAGCGTGGAAACCAAAGTGGTGTTTGCCTGCCACAACCGAGGCACTCTGATCTTTGCTGCACGAGCCACTGAGGTTCAGGTGCTGTTTCTGTCAGGCAGTGGCTCTAGAAGCCATGAATACAGGTATTTTAGAGGCCAGTATTATGTATTCAGAGACTCTGAAACTGTGGGCTCTTCAAGTGATACCACAGCAGCTCCCCAGGAGCCCTCTAAAAAAGAGAGCAGGAGGACAGAAGTGACCAAAGGTTTATTGTCCATGCTGACAGCTCCTCCAGGCCCACCAGCTGCACCTGCAGGTGGCAGGATCCAGCCTGACATTGTGAGCCCAGAAGAAGAGGGCCAGCATTCTCCTGATCTCATGGAAGATGGTCAGTCCGGTGCTAACCGGAGTGAGCGTGGCCAGGATGAAATTAGGCTGGAAAGGAACCCTAAGGATGGTGGCAGCAAGGGCAGAGAAACTGAAGATGACATGTTGGTGGAGCCAGCTCCAGCTGGGCGAGACACTGGGGGTAAAGCTGAGCCACCTGCCCCGGAGCTGGCCAAGGGGGGCACCGAGCCAGGGACTGCTCTGGTCACCATGGTCCCATGTCACCCAGCTGGTTCCCCTTGCTCACAGCTGCCCAGCAGCACTGTAGGTGTCTCTGACACCTCACCTACCCTGGCTCAGGCCAGTGGCAGCCCCTCAGAAGTGGCAGCTGCTGCACATGACACACAGACACCAGAGCTGGCAGAGCCACCACTGAACAGCAGCACAGAACCACCTCTCTACCCCTCTCCTGGTGCGACTGCTGCTGATGTGGTGTCTCTGGGAGGAAGAACTGAAGAGCTCTTTGGTAAGGCCATTTTTTGGTTTTTACTGGCTGAACTGCCACCTGACAGTGTGCAATACCTACCTCCAGTGATGCAGCACTCGCTTAGGAGGTTTTATTTGTAGACATGGCTGTTACCTTCAGCTGGGCCACGTGGTGCCACTCTTGACTCCTGTATCCAGGGAGGGACTTGAGAGGACATAGGATTACCAGCTCTAACATGAGCATCTATGGGATTATTACAACAGGGTTTCTAATCCAAGTGTTTTGAGTTATCCATGGAGGAGCCAGCGTCTCTGCTGTGACTTCACCCCCAAAACAGACTGTGAGTGCTCATCTTGGTTTTAAACAGCCCTGTTTAAAACTGATTCCTCTGTAGGCTGTCACAGTGCTCCCAGGCCTGATCACTGAGTCTGAGCTCCAGAAGCTGGAGAAAGGTTAGAAAAATCCTTTGTCTCTTAAGAAAGTTCAGGAGTTGATGGTAGATCACTTACACAGGCTACTGATATGCTTTAATTTCTACTAATTTCTATTAATTTCTACTAATATTTAGCTACTGATAGGTTTTAATTTCTGCCTGAAAGCAGATGATGTTTTTAAATGGTATTTCCTCACCTCCAAACTGTTCTTGCCCCTCTGTTGTAGGTTTTATTCAGATTTTCTGCATTTGCTGGCATGTAATGCCCAAGCTGTTTTGCTCCACTGGGATCCAAGGCAGCTCTAGCGGGTTCACAGGGATAAGAGTTTGCTTCCAGAAATGGAAATGAGGGTTGCTGGGGTGATTTCTTTCTAAAGAGAACTTTCCACTGTAGAGGAGAAGAGCTTGTCTTCAGAGCCTGATGGCTAATTTCAGTATGAAGAACAGAGGCGTGAGCTGGGACATGGCTCTTGCAAAGTGACCCAGACCTAACGTGCTTTCCCTCCCCATCACTGGTGCATCAGTGACAGCAGCCTGATGCTTTCCCTTGCTTTGGCAGATCTGATGTCCTCTGTGGAGAATGACACAGGACTGCAATCCCAGCACCATCCTGGAGGTGAGCCATGCAGAGTTAAACCTGCCTTAAAACACTGCCCTGAGCTCGGGGAGCTGCCTGAGGCTGTGCTGGACATCACCTGCTCATTGCATTTAGAAAGCAGTGGGAGCTGTTTCTCAGTAGTGACCACTCTGAAGATGCTATTTTTTAAGATATCACTGTAATCCCACAGTTGTGCTTTGGCCAATTTGTATGTCTCCCCTGGAGAAACCTGAGTTCAGGTGCTAACCCTGACATATGTGCTGGCTTGTTGGAGTCCAAGCATTACTTGTTTGCTATCTAAATAAGGTTTTTCTAAGATGAATGAGGGTGAATGAACCTCAATTCCTCCAGTGTATTTCAATGGATGTCCCATGACTACCAGGATCAGAAATGTGCAGAAATCCTGCTCCTCAGACCAGGGAGAGAAGGAAAACCCTCTTATGAGAGAGCAACTAAACAATATAAATACAGGGTTTGTATGGCCCAGCAAGCCACAGAAACATCTTGCACAAAGGAATCAATACAGAAGGAGCCTAAGCTCCTAACAGGGGAAATAGTGATGAACAAATAGGTTTTAAACAGCCAACTGGCAAAGCTGTGCCAGTCTGGATTCCAAGAGAAAAAGGCTTGTAGACTCCATCCATAATTATGACAATCCCTTTGGGAAACAGAAGGGTTAAAGGCATGTGAATGTGATTGGATATGTTGCTTTGTGTCAATTTTTCACTAAGAGATCAATTCTAGTATTCATCAACAAGCATTAACTAAGGTTTGTGTTCACCTGTTATTCAACAACTTGTCCTGGCTGATGCACAGCCCCTGGAAATACCCCTGTGGCACTGACCTGCACAAGCACGGTGCTGTTCTGGTGTTGATGTTTAAGGACTGACTCCTCTGGGGAGCCTGTTTGTATTATGTGCATTAGAACATGCCAGGATCCTTGTGTTTTCTGGCAGATGTGCTGTTTGAAGTCACTGTTGAAATCAAAGCCAAGGACTGGACTCCTCATGGTGGAAACGAGTTCCAAAGGGGTCTTCTTGAATCTCTGAAGAATCATGTAAGTGTGAGCATGGGGAGGTGGGGAAGAACAGATGGGATGTCCTAAATCTTCATGTAGAAGAAGAGACCATTTTGTGCTTTTGTGTTTGGGGAAGATGACCTGGAGCTAAGCAAATGGGAACAACTGGTATTCTTCTAAAGAAAGGGCTCAGAGCAGTGGGCTATGGGGCATCCTCTGCATCCCAGGGGGTTTGTGAAGGGGGAGAGAGATGGGGTGCTACTGTGAGAAAATAAACTGTTTGCTGTCATACTCCTGCTGGTTGAACATCAAATCAGCACTGGTCACTCTGTTCCTTTGCAGATCCAGAAGAACCTGAAACTTTCTGCCAATAAAGTCAGTGAAATCAAGTTAAAGGATATCAAAAGGTAGGGTTAATGCTGTGCTGCTACTTTGGCAGGTGACTGCTGTAATCTGCAATATTTCTTGGATTAGCAGTGTCTTGGCTTCTCACTCTCCTTCCCCAGGAAGAAACGTGTTTGTTCTTCTTCTCTGATCTGTAACTTGTCCTGAAATTAGAAAAAAAAAAGTTTCCTAGAGGAAAGATAGTGAAAATTGATGTTTAGTATTATCTGGGACCTATATAGGTCTAAGATGGATTTAAACTTTGGAGGAAAAGGAGGATAAACTCACCTGCCACAGTGCCTGCTGGAGAAAGCTGTGAGCAGAGGCTGATCTGGGACTGCAGATTGCTACTACAATTCACTTTACTCAGATATCTGGTCATTTCAGCCTAGCTCCAGATGAGGAGCCATTCCTGGGCTTTCCTTTATCCCATGGTCCAAGTGCAAAGCTGCCTCTTGGCACAGATCATCTTTGCAAGAGCCTGCAGTACCACGATCCCATACCAAGGGCTGAAGGTCTAAATGGGCTGTCAGAGCTGGGCCTGCAGTGATGTTTTTTCCCTCCTGCCTCACCCTGGGCTCTCCCCTGCCCCCAGGACGAGAGATGCCAACCTGCTGCTCACCTTCTGGCTGCACCTGGAGCCAGAGGAGAGGAACGTGTCTCTGCTCCTGCGCTCCCAGCTGGAGGAGCTGCTTGGCTCCTCGGTGGGCGTGGAGAAGCTGCAGCTGGTTTCACTCTTCGTTGAAGGTGGGTGCTTCACTTTTTAATTTTTTTTTCCCTGAGATAAGCCCTTTAATGCCAAACCTGACTTAACTTGTGGTGTCTTTTCCCCATTCTAGATGTGAACGAGTGCCAGGCTGGGCTTGGCCTCTGTGGGGAGGGGGCAGAGTGCTTCAATGGCGTGGGCACCTACCTGTGCCGCTGCAAGAAGGACTACGAGGATCATTCTGCCAGCGAGTCCGGCACGCTCTGCATCCGCTCTCCCCGAGCAGGTAGAGGCTGGAGCTGTGCCCCTGCTCCCTCTCACGGGCTGTGCTGTCCTGGCTGAGTGGCTGAGCACACCAGGGCAGGGGGCTCTCTGCTAGCCAGGGGTCCTGCACCTCTGCTGATGTGTGTGGGGAGTGGTGGCTTTAGGTGTGGCAGGCTCCTGGAATGTCTTTGCAAGGCAGTTCCCAGCTGGGAATAGAACCTTTCTTCCCCAGTCGGCTGTTTTCTGTGCATCAGGGCTACAGCCTGGCACATGTGAGTCCTTCAGTTGTAAGCAGAGTGTGCTCAGGGGTGATTTATGAGCTACCTCTGCTGTAGCTGATGTGATCAGCAAACCTGGTGGCTCCTGGGGGTGCCCTTTGTTCTCCTGTCACCCTGTGTAGATCTTGGTGAGAAGCACAGTGATGTTCCTGGTGTTTACGCCAGCTTTGACACAAGGCTGAGCAGATGGCATGTGGTGCTTGACTATAATCAGAGGTGTCTAATCCAGTCTTGCAGAGTAATGGAGCCTCACAGGCTGGAAAACAGCAATATTGTGCGATATGTGCTCCAAACACTGCAGCAGCTTTACCAAAACTAGTTCAATATCACCACAGTGGCTTAAACCTTAACGTGAGCTCATAGCCAAATATTACTTCTCACCCATCCTACCAACTCCAAGTTAATTAACAACTTGAGCAGTCTAAGCCTGTACAGATCAGCTGGTTATTGTTATAGTCTGATGCAGGTAATTTTATAAATCCAGCTTTATCTGTTGGGCCTAGATGGGAACTGCAGCAGACCTTTTAGTCTCTGTGTAGCTGCAGGTGGCTTTGGCAATGGCTTTGTTGTGTCAGGGTTCTGCTGGGGTAGCGCCATCCTTGTGCTGCTCCGGGCTCTTGGTTGAAGTGTTTCCCTGGGATGGAGGTTTGGGAGCCACGCTCTGGCCTGCAGGCAGGGTGAGGGTTTCTGGAGGGTGGCAGGGGCCACGCTGAGCTTCCCAGAGGAGATGTGGGGCTCTGTTGAGCGCAGCGGGGCACTGGGATGAGGCCGTGGCTTTTCTCTTGCAGGGGTCAGCGCCTTCCTCCGCCACGCTGACATGCTGGTGGGGGCAGCCCTTGTGGCCGGCCTGGTGCTGCTGGTGGCCTTTAGTGGCCTCTGTGTCACAGCCCTGAGGGGACAGGCCCCCCGGAGGAGCCCGGGGCCCAAGGAGCCGGTGGTGAGGGCCGTGGAGGAGCCAGCCATGGAGCTGCACGACCTGGGGGAGTGCCTGCGGCTCGACCCCTTCCAGCTGAAGCTGCGGGCCAGGGCCCCCGAGTGGCTCTGGAGTGTCCGTGCCCACCCTGGCCAGGCGGGAGGGCTCAGCCCAGAGCAGCCTGGCCCGCTCCCAGGGGAGCCTGCACCTCGCTGACCCGGGCACTGCTCCTGCATTGCCCCAGATTTCTGCCCCAGCCCCTGCCTGTGCCAACCCTCTGCGGCGTTCTATATCCCACAACAGTCTTCCTCATGTTGTAACTTTGTTTTTTTAATGCTTGCTCAGCTTGGGGAACAAAATGTTTGCTCCACGCCCCTGTACGTCTGCTGATTTATCCTCCTCGAGATCTGCACAGGAAAATTAAAAACTTTATTTTTTTTTGGAAGAAAAAAGGAAATAAGATGCTTTGGTGCTTAATATGGAATTACAAATTAATTCTTCACCCTGCTCAGTGCTGCCTGCTTTCTCCTGCCTCCAAGGCAGGGCTCTGCAGGAAGCCCTGGTGTGACCTGAGGATCTGTGGGGTGTTTCTTCCAGCCTGGCTGAGAAACATCTCCAGAACCTGACTTAAAATTTTGGTGAGAAACCTGGTCAGGTTATGGCAGGTGGGCCATCACTCACTGAATGATGGGGACAGCATTTTTGGTGCCTGCAGCATTTTTGGATGCAGGCTGCAAAAACCCCACCACCACCTGGTCCTGGCCAGATGTAAAGCACAGCTGCCTTCCCAGCTTGTCCTGCAGCTGGATCCCGGTGGGTTTGTTGGTGGGTTTGTTTTGGGGGGTTTCAGCCGGAATTCCCGCTTTCCCCGGGATGAAGAGTGCCTGGAGCGGCGGCAGATGCCCCGCTGGAGGGAGCTGTGTGCCACCAAAAGGGGGAAGGGGCTGCCCGGGAGATGCTCCCAGAGCCGGGGCTGCGGGCCCCTAGCTCACCCAGCTCGTCAGGGCTGTCCCGGGGCACCGATGTGCTCTGGATGTGCCCAGCTCAGGGTTTGCTCTGCACGGTCAGCTTTAGAAGGGGCTGGAAATGGCTCTGCTCTGCTTCTCTGCAGGTGAGGATACTGGCGAAGGAGTCCAAAGAAGTCCTGGTGTGTTTCTCTAGGATAACTCGCTTCCATACTCCTCCCCCACGCCCCAAAAAAAACCCAAACAAAAAAAAAAACAAACTGTGCTGCTGCCTGGGGCTGCTCCTGCCCACTGCAGGACCTGCACTTGTCCTGCTGAGCCCCAGCAGTTTTGCCCTGCCCATCCCTGCAGGCTGCCGAGGTCCCTCTGAAGGGCTCCTGGCACCGGGAACCTGCTGAGCAGGCAGTCTGTCCCAAACTTCCATCCTCTGCTGCAGGTCAGGGTACTGGCATCTGCTCTTCTCTCATATCTGTGGGTTGAATTAATAGGCAATAAAACAAGACAAATCTGCTGGATCTGTAAATCTGATTTTGCTCAGATTGACTGGAAGCTCTGCTGCTTCTGACATCCAAAATGAATTTGTCACCTCGCTGTGCAGCGCTCTGCTTGCTCACAGCCCTTGGCCATATGAAATGACACACTCTGATGATTTATGGGCCACCACAAATGGTTTTTTTCTTTTCAGTAGGAACTGTTCTCTCATGCATTATTGCTATGTCACTGAGGTGTGTGCAGAGGTTTCAGAGGGTCCAGGATTTACTTAGAGATTGACACACGCCCTAGGAACTGCAGGTGAAGAACAGTATTTGTACATCAGCTGATAATTTTCTTTTGAGAAGACATTTACTAAGCCTGGTTGAACACATTCTCTCCTAATCTTTCACATTAATCTGACTTTTTTTTTTCCCTAGATTTTGAAGCAGGCAGGGCAAACCTCATCTGGCCCCAGAGCACTTGGACGTGAACCATAAAGCTAGGGCAGAAGATATGGAGGCAGTTCCTTGTGAGAGACCCCTCATTCTTTTTGCACCTACTTCATCAGAAAAGCCAAGAAAAATGGGAGACATCTCATTCAACCTGCTGTGGCTGCTACCTTAACCTGAGTAACGAAAGCAACAAATAAGGTGTGGGGAGAATCACTGAAGGGAGCTGCTGGCTGTGAGTTTGGTTTTCTTTCCTACAACAAGCAGAGAGCTGGGAAAGGGATGTGGGTGCTCACAGCCCACTGGGACACCACTCGTGTGTCTCTGCTGCCCATCACTCTCTGCCAGCTGGTAGAGGCTGGGATATTGCTGAGGGACACCTCCAGAGGCTCTGAGGTCCTTGTGTGAAGGGCTGGATTTAGGGGGACACCCCAGCTGAGTGCTGGCACAGGCTACTGGAGTGAAAATGTGGGAGAGTGGCTTCATGCTGAATGGTTTGAATGGCACTAAGCTGTAATGCAACCACAAACCAGGGACAATTACTCCTGGAGAAAGTGGCTTTTGCCCTATCAGCTCAAGTACAGGAAGCTGTAGCAGTATTTTGTTGACAGGCTGAGTGATACTCCCTCAAGTTAGTGACTGTGATTAAGTTGAGATATATCTGCAACAGCTTCAAATCAATGAGGCAGAGCAGAGAAATGAGGCCTAGAGCTGGCATTTTTCTTCTAGCCTGGTCTAAAAGCCTGTTCTCCATCCCAGGGGGTGCAGCTGCAGCTCCCTGCCTACCCTGTGATATCACCTGAGGGTTTGATTTCTCTGCTGGAGCTGCTGCCACGCACACAGTGATCACCTGCAGCTGTCTGTGCATGCAAGCAGGGGCTCTGCAGAGATGGAGGCTTTTGGGGAGTGAGGAGCACTCTCTAAGTAGTCATATTTTCAGGAAGGAGGCAGCACAGACTGTGAATTGGGTCTGTTCTCAAAGCATCTTAACTCACAAGTGATTAGCTGTTAATTATTATGCAATAAATTACTTAATAAGTTAAATTAGTATTCTTCACAGTACCTATTGTGCCACATGACATCAGCTGAACGATGTGAAATACATGTAATTACTGTCACAGAAATGTAATTATAGCTCTCCCCCACCCTCAAATTCTTGTGTGTCCATCAGTTGTGGCATGGGCACTTGTGTGATGTGCAGACAGTGCCACCATGCACCACCAGACACTTTTCCCCTCCTTCCAAGCCTGCCTTCTTTTCCAGTGAATGTCAGGATTCAAAGTACAGGAGGCAAAAAAATCTGTCCTCACCTGTGACTTAATTCTGTCTCAGTCAGGCTTTAAAGCACCTTGAAGCTAATGTTAAGCTCTCATAGTTAGACTTAAAAGAGAATAAAAAAAAATCCCTAGTGCACATGCTGATTTCATCTCAGTTTTGTTTATAAGTGTTGTTGCTTTATAAGGCTTTAACAGTTAAAACCCCAAGGAAGGGTGCGTTCTCCTACTGGAGTACTTCAGTACAAAATGCTTTTGTGGTGACTTAACTTTGTTTGTGGCCCTGAAGAGGGAGGGAGAGGTGGAGTCTCTTAACTGAGATCATCAAAATATTTGTGCTGGTATGTGCGGTTTAGATCTGCCCTTGAAATTATTCAACTTAGCCATGCCTTAATTGTTTTGGGCATTTGAACTTTAATTTTTCCCCCTAGTTCTTGTTGGTGTGACTTGTGCCAGTTGGCTGTGGGGGTCTGTAATGGTGGATTTGGGTGTTTTCAGCTGCTTTTTGGGAAATGCAGTGGTCTGGCTTTGCTCAGAGGTGGAAGGAGAAATAAGGATGGAGAAAAATATCTGCATGTGACTGAATAAGTTCAACAGTTTGAACTTAATCAGCCAAAATGGGTCTCTTAAGGGCGGGTTGCACATGTGAAAGATATATTGCAGTAAAGATGTACTTGATTATGCCAACAAATGTGGGATAGCACGAAGCTATCAAGGATAATAAGCACTAGATATTACAATGGGGATTTCTCACATTGCTAGCAAGGGGAAAAGCTGCCCTGCCTCTCTGCTGGCTGGAAACACCAAAGAGGAGATTTCCAATTTATTTTTCCCTTAAAAGGATCCAGGCAACAGCATCCATGTGCATGCTGCTGTCAGCAAAGCCGGTGGCTCCATTTCTCTCAGTTTGCAGCTCCCACTGCTGCAGCAGCAGCCAAACCAAACTGTGACAGTCCCTGAACACAGCCTGAAAAAAGCACCATTTATGTGTCTAACCCATCAAAGGCACGCAGAAGGGAGAGCAGGAACAAGCTGTGTGAAAGCTAAAGAGTGATAACGATGCACAGCAAATGGGCTGTCAGTGCCAGGCTGCTGCAGCACTGAGCCAGCAACGATGCCTGCTCTGCATGCAAACAGCACCCGCCTTTCTGCAGGGCTGACACATGTGCCTGCCTGCCAGGACCTGTGGGAAGGTCTTCTCTGCATGTCCTTCATACAGGGTGGTGCTCTGGGCACACGGTGGGCAGCACCACATTATGTATAGAACAAGCAGGAGGGTCCCTCAGCCTTCAGCCCCAGAACAAGGCCTGTTCCTGGCTGGTTTCAGCAGTGCTGAAATCAAAACCCAAAGCAGGAAAATGGCTTAAAGCACTGCACAATTTCTCTGGACATCCTGACCTGCTTGAAGAAGAGTAAGAAATTATTATTTTACTTTTACAAGCCCAGATGGCTTGTTCAGCAGGGCAGTGGGCAGAGCTCTTGCCTGAAGGAGGTGGGGTCAGTCCCTTTCCCCAGGTAGCAAGTGCTAGGACAAGAGGAAACAGCCTCAAGTTATGCCAGAGGATGTTCAGATTGGAAATTAGGGTGAATCTCTTCTCCAAAGGGGTGGCCAGGCAGTGGAACAGGCTCCCAGGACACTGGTGGTGTCATTGTCCCTGGGGGTGTTCAAAGACTCTGCAGATGTGGTGCCTAGGGACCTGGGTTAGTGGTGGGCCTGGCAGGGCTGGGTTATCAGCTGGACTCCATCATCTCAGAGGTCTTTTCCAGTCTTTTCCAGTGTTCTATCACTCTTCAACTGAAAGTTGTACTGAGAAATGCACACACAGGCAAGTGTGTCTCACCCTGCTCACACCTGTTGGTTTGTTGCAGGTGATGTTCAGAAACAAATTACTCTTTCAGTGCATCCTAAAAGAGCACTCAGAGAATTTTTCTTTGTTGGGTTTTTATTCTTATTATCCAGTCTCTGTTACCACTGTAATATTTCAAGCCTCTGTAAAAAAAAAAAAGTCCTATTCAAGAACAAAGAAACCCACAGCTTTTCTTAATTTCAGTCTTTTGTGTCCAAAGGGATGTCCTTAACTCAATACCTGAGTTTTTATTGTGTCACATTTCACTGTCCCTGACTGCAGCCAGCCTGGCTAATCCTTTTGCTGCTGCCTTATCAGTATTGCCCTAAAAAAAAATAAAAGCATTGTTCTTTTATTATCACCTTGACACTCACTCCTGAGTGCCTGGTGGGGTTTGGGAATTTAAAATTATTTTTAAAATGCAGTTTTTCTTAGGAAAAAGGAGCAGCTTCAAAATATTTCCCCACCCCATGTTTTTATACATGCTTTGCTAAGCATGATAAATCATTTAGAAATAGAAAAAAAAAAAGTGAGATTTAGGTTCCTCTGGGATTTTCAAAATGAAGGTTTTCAAAGATTTGCTGATCTCCTATTCCCAGCTGCTTTATAAAAGGAAGATTTGATAAATTTCTGGTTGTGGTAAGAATTTGCTTTAAATTGAGGTGTTTTAAAAGCCAACAACAAAAATCAAATATGAGCCCTTTAGCTATATATTTTAATTGTTGACTATTGTATTAATATACTGCAGAAGATACTCAAATATCTTGCTCTTGCAAACTTTACTCTTGTGATAAATTTTGTATTTCCTGTGCAAAAGGCCAAACAAAGAGAGGAGAGAGTCCCATGCTAAAATCCTTTCTGTAAGTGAATCAGGAGCTCAGACATTGGCTCACTGACTGAAGGGAATCCCTCTGGATTGACACAGGCAGGGGCTGCATGGGCTGAGAGGCTCTGTGCAAAGCTCCAGCAGTACAAGTGATTATCAACAGGTATCTCTGATATTCTTCTCGCCTTCATGAATTCAGCTGAGTGTTTTCAATGCATGGAGAGTGTGGTAACTGTTGTGAATGCAGACAAACCTGATGGGAAGAGATGATGGTGTCTGGACTCAATTCAGAAGGCTGAATTATTTCTTTATTATAACTATGCTAAAATACATTAATATACTATATAAAGGAAGATACTAAAACTACAATTTTACTTGTTCTAACTATATTTCTAACTCAACTCGTGACCCTCTCGCAAGAGTGCAGCCACAGGTGGATCTGACTGGCCATCAGCTCAAACAATCCTCACCAGAATCTAATCAAGCAATCACTCTAGGTAAGCAATTGTCCAAGCACATTCCGCATGGGAAAAACAAGGAGCAGAAATAGAAATTGTTTTCTCTTTCTTTCCCTGTGCTCCTTTATGAAAAATCCTGAGAGAGAGAGAGAAATGTGCTTGCCACAGTAACTAAAGAGTGCTCAGGGTTTCTCCCTGTTATTTTACTTGGGAACAGCTTGGGCCCACCAGTGTGAATACAGAAGGGTCTTTTCTATCCCTTAAAGTGCCATATTTCACAGACTGCAGGAGCTCCTGCCCTGACACTGGAGGTTCAAGGCAGCTCTCAAGGAAGTCATTAATACTTCCAAAATTCACCAGGGAAGCCTCAGGCCTTGGCTGTTCTTGCAGCTACCTGCCAGATCTGTTCATCTCTGTCTACAGTTCCTCTGTTGTGCTCATGTCTCTTGGCCAGGAAATGCTTTCTAGGGACTATACTGCTTTCAAACCTTGAACCATCTGAAGAAGAAAAAGTGCCTTTTTTCCATAAGAAACTGTAAAACTTGCATGTATTTAATGAATGTGGAACTGAGTGCTCTAGGCTGCTGCTTAGCTGGGGGAATAATATTTCTGCTGAATCCCTGAAGAGTTCAAGCTAGTAATTTTTTACATGCTTTTTCTTTTAATAAATTCTCTCCTCCGTGTACCCAGGGGCAACTTTGGTGGCACCAATCATCAACATACACATTTTCTCTCTGTGTTACACTTCTTGAACCTATTTATTGCATTATAGTTTAAATTCTTCTTGCTCTTATCAGCTGAGCCTTACATACATCTTTGCCTGCCTCCTTTAGCAAACCTCTATTATCCCTGCTTTATTTGAAGCACTGAACAAAGTTATATTTAATTGTTGCTATCTGACCTTTGTCCTGGAGAAACAAAATTTATTTTTCAAAATAATTGATCTCTGCAGCGTTTCCCAGCTATTGGCCATCTTATCAGACTCTGTAATGATGCCAATTCCACCTGCTTCATCAACTATTTAAAGATTCACACTGAGTCCAGTCCAGTTTATAAGAGACAAAGGCAAGAGTGAAATGTATGATCTCATTCCACTGGGTGCAATTCTTTCAGCAAATGTAAAGAGTGAGCTGTTGATATGGAAAGGTTAATGCTGTACCCTCTTTTTTTATCAATTGTCTGTTTTCTATCAAATCTATGTCTTATCTTGTGTCTGCTTTATCAGATCTGCTTAAGCAAGGTACACATTTGAAGCCTCTGCTAAATTTAATTTCTCCTTCTTGAAAGTCCTGCAGCTATTAAAAAAAGAGAAATCCTTTTACAAAGTCTATTTTAGACAAGGGATACAGGCCAAGTTCAGGTATTAACCATTTGCCAATTATGCCCTTGATCACAAAATACTCCTCTCATCTTCAAATTGATCAGTAACCTAAAATAGAGCATTTTAAGATAATACACCCATTCCTAATTTCTTTTATTCAGTCAAAGGAAATACATTGGTACAAATTTCCCTTAAAATTGGCTGTTGGCCTTTCTGACAGTAAACTTCATGAAGTAAAATAACTGATATCTGTTCCCAGGATTTAGCCACTCAAAGATCTTGATTGTGAAGAGAGAGCTGCTGGTAGCAATCTAGAGCATTAAAAAATACTTTTTGGGGTGTTCTTGGCACAAACTGCAGGAAGCCACTGTTGTACAGCTTGTGTTCCAAACTGTCTGGGTGCTGCTCAGTGAACTCCCACGTGTTTCCAGTGGTTTTGGGTTCCTTCCTTTCATTTTGGTTTCCATCTATTCTCTTAGAGGTGAGGAAATCCACCAACCCCCCTCGCTGCCCAAATACTTGCTCTGCTGAATCTCAAATTCTTATGTTCTACTTGTGTATTTTTTTCCTGCTTCCTTGATGTCTCACCAGTTCTTGTGAAATTTGGAAACTGAAGAGAAATTTCATTGTGAAATTAAAACTGATAATTATTTATATAACCGATAAAACTGAAATTAAAAGCAGATTAGCAGATCTATTAGGAGGAGTGTGGGTAGAGATCTTGTGTTTATCAAATATGTTGCTGAAGATTTACCACACAGGCTGATTTCTACCTTTACCATTTCCAGACAACTCTACTTCTAACAGTGTTTTTCTTAATTCTATTTCCCTCTCCTCGTCCCCATCTCCAGAGAACTGTGTGTCCTTGTGCCTTTGGCTCCTGTTGTCTTGCATGGCCATTTGATCTTCCAAATGCACCATTTCTTTATGATTAAAGGCAAGGATTGTGGGTTATACCTCAGGGCCTTAGCCTGGAGGCCAGTTCCTTGTTGCTAGCATTGGTGTATGGTTGACCTTTTCAGCTTCATGTTGTATTTCATGCACTTAGTGTCAAAAACCTTCCTCCAGCCTGTTTTTAGCTTTCTCCACTAATGTAACTGTGGTTGACATTAAAGATATGCCCAGTGTTCCCTTTGCATCAGTTAAGAATGCTTTGACAAGGATTTTCTAATGCTGGGAAAGTATTTTTGAAATGCTGTAACTTCTGCTTAAACCTCAGTGTGTCCCTCTCAGGCTCTGATTACAGGGCTCTAAATGTTTTACATTAAGTGTTAAAAGGCACTCTTAAAGCCTCTTAGAGAAATTCTCTCTTTCTGTGCAAAAATCCAAGATGGTAGTTTGCTTTAAAACAAAGGGATATGTGCTCTGATAACATAAGATTTATAATAATGAAATGAGGAAGCAAACTTAGTGTAATTCATTGTCCCATTCATTCATGGATTGAAAGGAAAATGAACCATTTTGGTTACAAAAAAAAACCAAAAGCTAATTCCTTTTTCTCACTTGGGGTTCTCTAAGCTTTAAATATTCAACATTTTTAAGCATAATGTGACTGTTTCATATTAGACTCATCTTCCTTCCAATCCTTTGAGCAGTTTGCATGCTTGTGCCAGCTTTCAAAACTGACAACTCTTGCCCTGCTCAAAGGTCTCAAAGGATTCCAGTGAAAAATTTATTTTAACGTTTCATCTCCCATCACTTCTTGACAGAAAAAGTGAACTTTTAGCCATTAGCAAAACTGCAGAGGATAGCCTAAAATTCAATACATACAGCAGGAATGAGAGAACCTTGGTATTTGCCCTGGCTTGGGAAAAACAGGTTCTGCCATTCAGTGATATAAACCTATTTTTTTAATGGCTACAATTTGTAACTGTTCTCTCTGGGAAAATTGCACCACTCTGACTTGGTAGTTAGAACTGTAACTAAGCCAAAGGAGATGAGCATAAGAGTTCTGTGGAATTACCTTTGAAATTACATGCCTAGGATAGCAGTGAGGAATTTCTAAGAGCTGGAATTACCTGGAACACCATCTCTGAAAGTGTAATCTTTGTTCACTCACTTCTTTTTGAGCCTCAGGATCTCTTGGGGCTTTTGTTTCCAGTTTGGTTACAGACAAAACTGGTACCAACACAAAAAAGTGTAGAAAAGATTTATTGTAAACAAAAGAATTTTGTGCAAACAGCGAAGAAAAAGGCTTGTTTTTTCAAAAATGCCACAACTTTACAACACGTAAAAACTCTCCAAATCTACTCATTCCACAAACAGCCCAACCAAGTTATGCCATTGGGTTTGATTTTCCTTGCAGAAAGGCGCTCCAGCCTCTCGGGTTTAATGCTGGCTCTTGAGCAAGACCTACTTTGTTGGTACCTCCGAGGCAAGAAGGCGGAGAAGTGTGGGTGCGCTGGGCCGGGCGCTGCGAGCCCCGAGGCCCTCAGGGTGGGGCTGGGGCCGGCGCTGGGGCCCAGCGGCCCCGGGGGGAGGCAGCAGAACAAGCAGCGCTCGCCGGGGCCGGGCGGGGCGCGCCGGGCGCGGGGCGCTGCTCCTCCAGCCGGTGGAACTCGCTCCGGCGGAAGCGAGCGGCCAGCGCGTTCACCATCCTCCTCAGCGTGAAAAACGCCGCCACCACCTGGAAGGAGAGGAAGGCGGCGAAGATGATGTGGAAGGCTCGCTCCAGAGAGTGGATCTGTAGACCTTCGTTAAATAGCAAGAAGAGAATTATAGGCAGCTGCGGGAGGAGAGTCAGGAGCCAAAAGCCAGCCAGCTCAGGGACCTATAACAGGGAGACATCACCTATTAAAAACCTGACAGCCGGGATGAAAAAATCCAAAATCTTGTAAAGAAAACGCAATTCTTATTAATTTTTTAAAAGCCAGCACGTAATGTGGAAAGGCAAAGTGAGGTGGCTTCATATTTCCATATCCTGAGTTTTTAAATGTACTTATATTTTCTGACAAAACAATTTTAGGGAGTGAGAGAGCTCTCTTCTGAGGGAAAACTACTTGAAATTCACAAAATTAAGTGGAAGCCAATGCTAAGGGAATAGAAGATGCAGAGTGCAACTGAAGAGAAACAACCATGTCCTCAACTTAAAATCTCTTAAATAAAATGCCAGCCACTTCATACTCCCAAAAGCAGAAATTGCAGAAATTACAGTGTACATCTGGTAACTTACTTTCTCTAGGAGATTGCCCACATATCCCAGGTAGAGTCGAATGAGCTCTGTCAGAGAGACCAGGATCATGATGGTGACCAGGATGAACTTGTAATAATCTGATAAGGCTGGATACTGGAGAGGAAGAAGAAAGTGGAAGTTTCTGCAGTGCTGTCTGTGATTAAATGAAGATACTCTGTAGTGTCTGTGATTAAATGAAGATACTCCTGAACCTCCAGTTTCCATGAATTCCCAAATCGGTGTAAAAACCTCTAACTCCAGTGTCTGATGTAACATACATTTACAAACCAGCACTTTCCTTCCTTCTCACCTTCATGTAGAGGATGGCAACTGTGATGAGCCACCAGAGCGGGAAGAAATAAACATTGAAATAGAGGGACATCTGCAGTGGCAAGCTGGAAAGGATTTCACAATCTGTACAGAGAGAAAGAAGATTTTATCACTCCAGCTGTAAAGGTGACAGGATACTGCTCCATCTTAGCTTCATGCAGGGCAGTAATTTTACTCTTCCCAGTCAAATTAAATATTAAGAAAAATATTTTTATTTATCCAGAGGGAATCTTCACACCCTATCTGGAGTTACATGATTTCCTGGAATCCAAGGCACCTTTTGGGTCTTGGGACAGAGCGTTTTATAATTTAGTCATATATTCAAGCTGAGTGTCCAGTTGTTGATTACCTGGGGCTTTTAGCTTACTCCACTATCTCTGACTGAGGCTTATTTCAAGAGAGCTGCTAGAGAGCAAGCTTGCAGGCCCACTCTTCATTTTCAACCTTTTATTTAAACAGACACTTGGATGGAAGCCAGTAATTTGTCTGATTCTTACAAGGTAAGAGTTTCAAATATGTGTCAAACTAAAGCTCATCCTTTCAGGTCTGTAGAGAACAAGATGCATCACACAACACAATGCAGAAAAAAACAAGTCTCAAATTGCAGAATGTGGACAGTAAATTCTGTACTTACGACTTTATAATAGGCGTACAAGGTCAGATTTAAGGAAAAAAATTACTTAAGAGCAGAGAAACCAAGAATCAGAATTTCAATTGTGATCACAACGTTAAAGGTTTCCTTGACATGCCATTGCTATTTATAAATTCTGTGCAAGCTCTAGAACTGTGTTTGGATGAATGTTTAAGCAATATAAACCAATTCTAATTTTTTCTATCCCTAAATTAAATTAACGCTTACTTGCTGGGATTGCTAAAATTAATGCAAAAGCCAGACAGTATTGCAATATGGCTGTTGCTACAGCAACACCCCAAGATACGTATGTGTAAAACTGAATTTCTGCAATCCCGATGTCCAATAATTCTCGACTGGATAGTAACGTAGGAGTGCCCTTCACACAGCAAAGCGAAGCAAACGAAAGGCAGGAGCTGCGGGCGAAGGGTTTGCGAGGCGCGGCCCGCGGTACCTGCGCGGTAGCCCGGGCAGCCCGGCGGGGCGCGGGGGCCGCCGCTGAGCGCCGCGCGGCCGCTCTCGCCGAACACGGAGCTGCTGAGGGACAGGAGCGGCCGCCGCAGGGTCTCGGGCAGCCCCGGCACCCCCTCAGGCCGCGCCATGGCGCCCGGGCCGCCGAGGAGCCGGAACGGGGCGGGGAGAACGGAGCCTCCGCCCCGGGGACGGGCCCCGAGCCCGCGGGGGCGCGGCTGTGGCGGCGCGGAGCCCGCTCGGCAGCGAGCGCGGGGCTCGGCGCTGCTCCCCTCACGACCGGCTCCGTTCCCCTCACGGCCGGCTCCGCTCCCCTCACGGCCGGCGGTGCCCCCATCACGGCTCCGCTCCCCTCACGGCAGCACTGCTCCCCTCACGGCCGGCTCCGTTCCCCTCACGGCCGGCTCCGCTCCCCTCACGGCCGGCGCCGCTCCCCTCACGGCCGGGGCCGCTCCCCTCACGGCCGGCTCCGCTCCCCTCACGGCCGGCGGTGCCCCCCTCACGGCCGGGGCCGCTCCCCTCACGGCCGGCATTCCTCCCCTCACGGCCGGGGCCGCTCCCCTCACGGCCGGCATTCCTCCCCTCACGGCCGGGGCCGCTCCCCTCACGGCCGGCATTCCTCCCCTCACGGCCGCTCCGCTCCCCTCACGGCCGGCATTCCTCCCCTCACGGCCGGGGCCGCTCCCCTCACGGCCGGGGCCGCTCCCCTCATGGCCGGCGGTGTTCCCCTCACGGCCGGCATTGCTCCCCTCACGGCCGGCTCCGCTCCCCTCACGGCCGGGGCCGCTCCCCTCACGGCCGGGGCCGCTCCCCTCACGGCCGCGCTGCTCCCCTCACGGCCGGCGCCGCTTTGCTCCGCATCGCTCCGAGGGGATTTTTATTGTCTTTTACTCTGTGGTTTTCTGAGAAGGTAACCGGAGTGTTTGCCCCAGGAAAGCTGCTGTAGAATTCTCCCCGATTTATCCAGCTTTTCCATCTAGATAAATCCTAGAGATTGATGGTCCTCGATGACGGGGGGAGTGAAAGAATGGTGGACATTCTGTGTTGCCGCTGAAAATGAGTATGAATGACGCATTTTATGAGAGATGCAGGTGTAACTGAGCTAGAAAATACCTTTTCCTCAGGGAAATCTGTGTGTGCTACTCTGGAGTTAAAAGCTGTGGTTTTACCAACACAGCCTAGCCCAGTCAGCTTTGTCCCTTACTGGGGTTTCATGGAATCAGAATAAGTTAATAACAGATGCCAAACTTCTTGTGCTTCTTTTATTTGGAAAATATAGGTCCTCTAGAAATGAGGTAATTTGTTCTTCGGGTTTTTCAATCACTTTAGGGCCTGATTCCTTCAAGGAAAAAAAGGATGCCATTCTTAGGCGTGCAGGAAATTATTTTCTTCACAAGCAGAATGCAAGAAGAGCGGCTTGTGCCTTTTACTATGAGAAATTTTCTGCACCCAGTGTGGCAGCGGCTGGTTCAGGTGGGAAGGGAACTTAAAGACCACAGTGTTTCAAGTTCCTGCCATGGGCAGGGGCATGCCAGCTCTCTTCTCCTGCTCCCCCACCCCAAATCATGTTCAGCTTCTTCCCGGGCTGATCATGCTCCAGTATGACTTTCTGAACTCAATTATCTCCAACTAAATAATTTAAAGCCTAATTTAAATTTAATTTCATTCTATCCCACTGGGAGGACTACAGAGAAAGATGGCTAAACAAGGAGGAGTTCAGAGAAATCCATTTGGCTCTTGAGCTGATGAATGGTGTGGTATTGACAAGAGATACTTTCCTAAGGACTTCTCCAAACATGGGTATACCAGCAGGAGTCTGCATTAAAAAACAACTGAAATTATAGAAGAGCTTAAGGATAATTTTTATATTTGAGGAAAATTTATGAAAGCCAGAATTAATGTTTGGGTGGGTTTCTGAATTTTAGAAAGTGCAGTCTGTATCAGTTATCTTGGCAATTGCCAGTAGGTGCTGGGAATTATTTCCTTTCAGGCTCAACAACTGTAATGGTGACTTTTGCACTCTTTAGCCAATATGTTCATAAAGTTCTCTGCTACAGACAGGGGCAGGGTGAGGAGTCTGTATGAGATTTTCAATGAGATTGGCAGAAATTTTGTTTTACTGCTGTTGCCTTGGTCCTGACCTGATTAACCACTCTTCAAGCTAGGGAGACTCTCATCCCATACTCTCAACTACTTAGACACAAGGTTTATATGAATCAAAAGTATGGCAGATATTCATGGAAGTCTCAAGGTTTTTTCCATGGTATAAGTTGGTGGCATGCAAAACTTCAGCCTTTACGGATTTTCCTTTTGATTACATTTTCTGAATGAAAGATGGAAAAATTGTTCCTGAACTACACAATGTTATGCCTTTTCCTGATGCCAGTGGCTTTGAGTGGGGATGTTCATCTTCCTAATACTGCTTGTCTATGGTCCCCAGTTCTGAAAACCTTTAAGCATGCAGCCAGGTGTCCTGCCAGCAGCTCTGCAGCACCAATGGTGCTTTGCAGAACTGGGCTCTGCCCTTGTGAAAACTGAAGCAACCCGGTTTAGCAGCCAAGAACGTGTAAAACTGAGGAGTAGGGAAAGGAAAGGCTGATGGCATGCAGACACCACAAGAAATGTATGGATTTGCCATGTAGGCTCAGCTCCCAGACTCAAGGTGTGACTCTGTGGTATTTGGCAGCCTTCCATTTTCAACAGATGGCCCAACATCCTGTGTGCCCCCACAAAATAAAGTTGTGCACACTTTTGTTTAATATTTTTGTCTGTGCAGACACTTAAAATATTCCCTGAAGAGAAAGTATTTGTTTTTAGTAATTCTGTTTGATTTTTGTTAGACTACAGCCTCCTATTTTAAAATTTTTATCTTTCAGCAGTTTAATGATCAGAATTCTTTTGATTTTCTGTAGGGAGGGATGGAGAGCATCCTTTTGGAAGAAAACCTTAAAACTTGAAGGGTCAGAATACCTGGGGCATCTCTATTGACACATCAGAGCTTTCTGTAAGAGAAGGGTAAGAATCCATGCCATAAGGAGTCGGAGAAGGAAAAACACTTAACTGTTACATGGCTGTAACAGAGACCATGACCATCTGCATAAATAGTGTCACATTTCCAGCTTTTGTGACAAAACTCTGGCCTTTTCCTTTCTTAATGGAGAGGCATTCCCTGACTGAATCTCTGTCCATCCACAAATGAATGTTTACGTAGAAATAACCAGATTTCTGGTTCTCTGTGCTCCAAAATAAGATACTGAAATATGAAACTGGAGGAAATAGGCTCACAGTGGCACAGCATTTTAAATGACTGGTTTATTTCTCTCCACACGTGCTAGCTATAAATAAAACAAAAGGCTGAAAAATCTGCCTGAAAGCTTTAAATCAGAGAAATGTTGGATTTGTGTATCCACAGCAGTCCAACTGACTTGGTAGACACTGGCCTGGCTCCCAGACCAAAGCTCCTGGGGGCTCTCTGGCAGCAGCACAAAGCCATAAACACCAGATGCAATATATCTATCGAAATGAAACATCAGCAGTTTTGCACAATTGGCATTTCAGCAATGCAAGGTTCATTTAACTGGTTCCAGTGGTTTACCTTTGCACCTGAATCACAACTTCTGTATTTCTGAAGCTGTTGGTGTGGAATCTCACAAAAGCTATTTTCCCTGGTGTGTCTGTGCTGCTGTCCCCTGATATGTGTGAGGAACAGAAATTCCTCTCCTCCTTGCTTGCTCCCTTATACCTGCCTGGTATTGTAGCAGAAATGCTGGAAACTATGTGAAAAATGCTGCTGAGCCAAGCTGTGTGCAGGCAGGCAGAGTACAGGCTTGTTTCCTCCTCATGTCCTCAGAGTGAAGTGGCAGATTGGGAGTTTTAACAAATTACAAATGCCACAAAGACTCTAATGTTCCTTTGAAAGATGATGTTATTAGCTGTGCCAGTGTCTGCCAGAGTAATTTCACAGTTGTGCTTCTGCCTTGTGAACCCCAGGACAGTGGTTTTTTTTCCCCTGTGTCACTTGTGCAGGTTTTCATTTCACACCTATGGGATATTTGTGTCTGGTAAAGAATTGTTGTTGCTGATGAGACTTAGCCCAGACCCTTTTGTCAAGTGTTATCAAGTACATATCACTGCAGGGATTCCATGCATTTAATCTATATTGGCTATTTTAGTCTTGAGCATAAAGAGCAGGGAATAATAAGAAAAAAGAAGAAGAAGAAGAAAGGGCTGTTAGTTGCTCCTGCAGATTGAATTTCTTCTTGCTGTAATTGGCATTTAGTTAGAGCCACTCCCTAGCTTGTTTTATTTTGTTGATTCATAGTTTTGTCAAGCATGCAGGGAGAGTCTGTAAGCTGGCATGGCTATTAAACAAGTTTTACTGTTTGTGTTGTAAAAGTGTTCAAGATTTTCATGGTACATCAGAAGGTTACTGAGAGTAGATGGATTTTGAGCCAGGTTGTCACTAAAGATCTTTGATGGGGCTTCAGCCTTGGTCTCATCTTTGCATAGATAAGCAAGCTGATCTTCCATGCAGTAATTTTTAAGTGCCTAAGTATTATTTGTGCCCAAAGTAATTAGGCTTCACCTCTTCCCTCCTGGTGGGCTCCCCCAGAAGGCTGTTCATGGGAAGGAGCAGTGTGCTTGCTGAATGTGTCTGTCCTTCTCTACTGATTACCAGTTGTTTTGCTAAATCAAGGTGCACAGAAGGTTTAAAATTTGATTATTTACAGGGATGTAGGCTCTCCCAAGTGTGCTTTGTGGGTCTGAGCTCCTCCAGATGGTCAGGCTGTTTGTGTTCCCTGGGTACCACACAGATGCTTCACCTGCAGTCTGTGTAACTCTTGCAAAAAGGCTTCCTGGGACACAGATCCTGGCAGTTCCAGTGCTTTCTCTCTTTATTGCAGAATCCAAAGATGGCTGGGTATTTAAAAATTTACCTCCAATCTGTATCAGCTGTACAAAGGCAGGATTGATTTTGCTGATGCACACTGCTGTCAGGTGCTTGTAAAAGTTGTTTTGTATCCTCTGCAATCAGCTCAGGCCTGAATCCTGAATGAGTGATGGAAGATAACATTTGTAATTTGATCATTCAGGGGAAAAAAAAAAAAAAAAAAAAAAAAAAGCCACAAGGCAGAGAGGACTCTGTTTAGTTAACAAACTGACCTCAGGGTTAAGGCTCTTTTTTTTAGTCTTTATTTTTCTATTTGGACAGTTACATAAATGCCTATTTTTAACAGTATGGGTATGCCACAGCTTCTGTGGAATTTAAATGGGAGTGGTAGCAGCACTCTAAATTGAGGTTAGATATTTGGATTCTTTGATATACATTTGGATGTCTAAATTTGGATTTCTGGACATTAGACCTTAGTCTCAGCTGTTATAGTTACTGTCAAAGTACAAAGGATAATTTTGAACTTCCCAGCTTGCTGTCTTTGAAATGTAAAATTTCTATATTTCTTCTGTAGATGGAGTTCCTCATGGAACCAGAATCTATAAAGTGGTGCTTAAGACTGGAGAAAGTCTAGAGGAATTCTTACTATAAAGATATTGCTTAAAATCAAGGAATTCCTTTCCTGCATGCTGAATTGTTCCCATTCATAGTGGAGGACAGGACCAGATGATCATATCTAGCTTGCAGGCTTGTCCTCTTTCTCCCTGAAATGCTTTATTACAGAACTCAATTAAGAGCAAATTTCCCCTCAAACTCTGTCTTACAAGGTCATGCCTGCCTTTATGAAATATTGAATCTGCAGCTGCAGGATTTATTACAACAGTATTTTAAAACACATGATGCTGGTGCAGCAGCTCTAACTAGAAATGCCCTGAGCTCACTGTGCTCACTGTGCCAAGTGTTGTCTCCAAACTGCAGCATCCACATCAGGAGGCAAGTTTATACATGTCGGAAGGACAGACAGACAGAGATACCTGTGGGAAAAACTGGAGTCTGCTGAGAAGTGCTGCTGTGCTGTGATTTCTTACTCTTTTAATTTGAATGAGCTCAGTTTGAGCCAGACTTTTGCCTCAGTAGCATTACTGAGTTGCAGCAGCTGAGCAGAGAGGGAAGAGCATGGCTAAAACACTTTGTGTTACAGTGTGACCTGTTACTCACTTTGCCACCATGGCCAGTGAGAAGTAATTGAAATGGAAGGTGCACTGGTGCTGGGTGTTTATCACAGTAAGGTTCCCCTTGTGAGGAAATTTAGCGGCAGACACAGGGAAAGATTCAGGAGATGAACACACCAGAAGAGTTCTGTTGTACACTACAAATTACCCACTGCTGTTCCAGGCAGACTGTGTTGATCACACCCGGAGAACGTCTCCTTTCCTTGGATATGAAGCATGGCAGCCACTGTAGGACTCGGGTTTGACACTGCTGTCCTGCAGGGATAATGAGGAATTTACCAAAGCAGAGCAACAGATGCCTTCAGAGATCTGAGTGTGATTAGTTCCATAAATACGTATTATGAAATCATGGGCAGTGTTCTAAGTGTAATGAATTTCCCCTGAGGGAAAATATGCCTGAGTAAAGAAATCAGAAAATACTTGATGCCAAATGTAGAATGGGAGGGAATTACTATGAGGCTGGAGTCTATACACAATTTTTTCTCAGTAGTCTTTTCCTTTGAAGACTCAGATGAGGAGTTACTTATCTTCATTTTATTATCCACTAATCTCCAAAATCTGTATCACTTTCCTAAAACACGCTGGCATGTATCATGTGCATATATAGCATTCCCTGGGAGCCTTGTTACTGCTTTATAGTCACTGCAGGTGAATTTGTTTATAAAAAGGCACGTACCTCCTTGAGACAGCATGAGTATAAGTCAGTATTTGCTCCTGTGCTGAAAGTAGATTTCTGAATGTTATAATATAAATGAGATGGATTTTTTCCTACAAAATTGTGAGACAAAGAACCCTGGAGGTGAATTCCAGCAGTCCTCATAAAGACTGTTTGTAATAAAGTCTCACTTGTCAGACATGGAGGGCCTTTAACATCATATCTGGGGTAGCTGCTTGAGTTTGCAAATTAGCCTTAAAGCTGCTGGCATTTCTATGGTGTGCAGCCTTTCCTCAAGAAATCCTAGTGTAAAACCCACTGAAAAACTTGCCTAGACAGTCTTGTCTTTGTGTCAGTGTGTCCTGGCAGAAGGTGATGAGTTATTCCTGCATCCCAAGGACCCGTGCTTGCAGGAGCATCTGTTGGCAGCAGACATAGCACAGAGGAGCTCATGAATTGCCCCAGTGTGAAATCAGGTTAGAGGAGCACAAAGCTGTCTTAAAACCGCCTTGTGCCAGGAGTGGGTTCTGGTGGCCTCAGAGCCTGGGCTGATAGCACTTTATTCCAGCCATTATGTTCCAAAATTTCATTCTGGCAAAGGGTGGAGTCAGTCAGCTGAGAAAACTGTCCTCTGTTATGTCCATTCTGATCTCCATGATTCTTTACTATTCCACAGTGAACTTCACTGGTAAATATCTTAGAGCCTTTTTTTTTCCTGTGCCTTTCAGAGCAGAGAGAAGTCCCAGTGCCCAGTTAAACTGAACTTCAGAATGCCAGGTTTTCTGTGAGAGAAGGCTCATCAGTGACAGTTTTCAGTGCGGTGGGTAAAAAGCTGTAACTCCTTGGAACCAGCTGGTTCTGCCAAGAGCAGACAACCAGTGTGGCTCTATCTTCAGTCCTGTGTGCAGTCAGCACTAGGCACTCTGCTGAAGTGGGTTAAATATATGGTTTGGGGGTTTTTGTATAGGGAAGATCTTTAACCTCACATGTGATACAAGCCATATAACTTCACTAGGCCCTTCTGCAGTGAGCTTTATGGGCCTGATGGAATGAGAGCTGCTTTCTTGTTGATCTAACTGGGTTCAGCATGTGCTTATGAGCTCTGCTGAGTCCAGGCTGAAAGACAGCTTTTCCTGTGGGAATGCTGCAGAAAGGATACTGATCACAAGAGTTTGCATGATAGCAAAGGCTTCATTTAACCTGCTCCCTTTCAGCCTCAGTTAATACTGCTTTGACCATAATAAGATGCTGAGGTGTAGACTTTAGTTGAATTTTTCATCAGATTTCTTTAACTTGGGTTTTGTCCCTTTTTGCCTATGTCTAAGTGTCTTTCTAGACTCAAATACTTCAGAGAAATTGTAATTTAACAATCCTTTTCCAAATGCCCCTGAATTTTCAGTCATGACTTTCATCAGATTTAAATGCTATTTGATTTGTAAATGTTGGCTGATATTTGGGCTGATTAATTTCACACACGGATTTCTGGAAACTGCAATATTCCATTTCCTAGACAAATACTGCCCCAGCATATGGAAAATGGGAAGTGATCCAGCTGCTTTGGAGCTCCTAAGAAGAGATGCATTAAAAAGATCTGGCTTTTCTGCATGTTTCTGCCTTCTGAAATGTCTCTGCAGCTATTCAATTGATAGAAATGCAGGTTGTCAGATAGTTTGTGCAGTTGAGAGTTTGTTACATACTAGGGTATCTCCAGAAGTCAGGACTGATACATCCATATCTAAATCTGTCAGATATCCATGTCTTTTTTCCCAGGTATCTCTCACAAGGAGCCTTAACATGTCTCTGTCATACTCAAGACAAATTAGGAGTAATTGTTTGATCTAATCTAAAATTCTGATCCTGCTGAGAGCAAGAGAAGTTTGGTTGGTGGGAGTCAGGTATTTGGCTGGTTTCTTTCAATTGTTATCTGCAACTTGCTTCTCATTTTGCTTTTTGAATATATCACTGAGCTTCCTCAGTAAGAGGTTGTGATTTATACAGCTGGAGCCTGAATGAGCCTTTGATCACCAGCTGTGGTTCCTATTTCTGTCTATTCTTCATCACTTCAGGCACTAATAGTCAGTGTGCCCTGTGGATCCACAGGGTGCTCACTCTTGTTGTGGCAATATAATTTATTGGTTAGTGTGCAGCACTGTATCTTCCACACACAGGATTGCTTTGTGATTGGCGTTTTCTGTGCTAAAGAGGGGATGAATTGAAAATTTCATCCTGAAATAGGAGTGCATACACAGCCTAGGTGGCTTTTCAACACAGCCCAGTAAAACAGAGCTTATTTCCTCTCTGGTAATTTCAGAAGATATTATTCAAAAATATTGTTTGTTTTAGACAGCTCTGCAACTCTTCCCTCTTACCACCTTAGGAACTGGATATAGGTGGAAGCTTTTTGATTTGTGCAGGTGAATGTTTCATTGCCAGAGTTCAAAGTCTCTTCAGAGTCCTCTGGCCAGTACCAAAACTGGATTCTCCACTAAAAATTCAGAGTAGCTTCACTGACTTAAAAGAAAAAAATTGCAACTACAGTTGGCCTGAGGGGTTTTCATTTCAAGCTCCATAACTTTTCTCAGATGTTTTTCTTAGGTTGGGCATTTTAGAATTGTTTAGGCTCATCCCACAGTGATCTTGGCCTTCTTGGGTCCCTCTGCAGTAACAGCTGTGTGAAGATGAATTCCATATTCTTGTCAGGAGCTCAGTTACTTTGTTGGCCAGTGCATTTAGAAAGCTGCTGTCAGTCTGGCTGATTCAGTTCCACAGGACATCTCGATTTTTTCCAGTGCTGCTCTTATTACTCTTTTCCTGCATGTCAGGTGGTGTCTCAGCATAGGCAGTGACCTACATAATAGCTATTTTTCTTCTCCCTTTTTCTAATCCAAATCATACTTCAGTATGAATACTGATAGCAAAGACATTGCTTGGCTTGGTTGTAACCTCCCTATATGATTGCTTCCTCTGCTTGCTGGGTCCAGCAGAGACCTACTGTTTCTCTAGACATCTCCCTCTTGCTATATTTCAGGCATTTTCTTTTAATTTCTTCTGGCAATTTATTGTCCTGGATTTTTTTCTTTATTATGTTTCTCATTTTTCCTGTCAAAGCCCCTTCCATCAGTTAAAGACAGATGAACTGGATTTACAGTGCCTGAAATATTGTTTTGGCCCTTAGAACTCACCCTCTCCCTCACCATTAGCAATTATTGTAACTTCTCTGTGTCGTTACAGTAAAGAACCCATTGAACTCAGGCAGACGTGTGGCACCTTTCTGGCAGGAGAATATTTATTTAAACCCCATGTAGAGAAGCAGAGAGCAAAATCCTAAATCCATTCAAATCAGTGGGGCTTTTCCTGAGCTCCAGCTGAGTCGTGGCTTAATGATCAGGTTTGTGGTCTGTAGTCAGCCTTGCAGCAAGAGCAGAGAGGAAGCACAAAGCAGGATTTTCACACCCATGTTCTGGCAGTGTGCTACAGCAAGAGGTGGGGGACTTGAAGGACCAAGCTTTCCTCTGATTCTGGCACCAACCTCCTAAAAGATACTTTAAGATTCATGTTCTCACATTTTGGCTGTAAAAGAAGAAGGTTTCTGGGCAGCAGAGCACAGTTTGAATGCACAGTTGAGCTGGTGTGTTGCAGCTGTATCCGAGGTTCTGGAGATGAACGTCTGGCTGGGACTTGCTAAGCCCACAAAACAACAGATCAGCCTAAACTGGGTGTTTTTTGTCAGGTGCTTAAGTGTGTTGTCTGGAGGGGGCCCTAATTTATTCCCTGTGAATTGTAATGGTGTGTCCCACTGAAAGTCCTCTAGTTTGATGGCAGTCCTGACTTGCTCTCCCAGCAGAGAAGTTTGCTGAAATAAGGTGAAAAAAAAGACTTCCTCCTGTTGCTGTCCCTTGCTGAAGAGCAGCTGCATCAGTGAAAACAGTTGAGAATGCTTATTCAAAGAAGCAATGTTGGGAGCTGAAGATAAGAGCAATTATCTGCATGTCAAAACTACTCAGTGTGTTCTCTGGACTCCCAACACACCAGGAACAAGGAGCTTGGGCTGGAGCTGCTGGAATGCCAGGAGTCCAGGGGGTGGTGTTTGTGCCAGGGAAACGTGGCATGCATCACATCAATTACACAGTGCGAGTGTATTCCCCCCGGCAGCAGCCAGGGCTGTGAGCCTGGAGAAAACATGTTCTCCTGGGCACTAGGGGAGTCTCCTCCCTTTGGATGCTGATTTAATTTGAAATGTATATCAGCGGAGAGAGAGGAAAAGAGGGAGAGGAGATGGACTCTCACGTGTTTTGCAGCAAATTGCCACATTGATCTTGTCACTTGGCAGACACAGTTGGACCTGAGGCTGTGAGTCTGTGGGATGTGCTGTATTTCTGTCATGAATTGTCAGTCTCAGAGAAGCTCAGGAGAAAGAGACATGTTATCAGAGTAGAAAACCATTAACAAAGGGACCAGCAAGCTGTTTAACAGCAACTCAGCAGCTGAGTTGTAGCTGTTCCTTCAACAGCTACAAACGTGCATTGTCCTAGTTCCTCCCCCATGAAGCAGCGATGGGGAGATGTGAGACATTAAGGAAGGACTGGTTTTTCCATGGAGGCTGCTGTTCTTCATGGCTAATGGCACCTGCAGGTGCCAGGGGAGCCCTCAGCCTCCCTGTGCCTGCCCTTGTCCCACAGCCCTCCTTGAGGCTGTCTTTGGGACAGCTCCTCCACGTGGGTTTTTCCTCTGGGTTTGCTCCCCAAAACGACAACCTGTGTTACACATCATTGATGGCCAGTTTGGGAGCTGACAGGACCACACTTAGGGTCTGCAGGGACCTAATCCTGGAATCAGAAACTTTCCTGAAATAGCTCTGTCCATCAGGAATGTGGCTTAAAATCCTGGTTTTGCTTGGATCACTGGAAACACTGCAGGTGGAGGCCACAGCCAGGCAGCTGGAGCAGCATCCACCAGCAGGTGCAGTCCAACCAGAACAAACCTGAACGCTGGCAAACTCCTTCGAGTGAACGGCAGCAAGCCTTGGGCATCCCTCTGCCCGATGCTTGTACCACGCTCTGTGGAATGATGTCCGTGCCTTGGGATGCTCGTGTTTCTCCCAGGCAGAACCAAAACACTAGGGAGCGCCATGGATTTGCAGATTCTGGCCTGCGAAGTGCAGTCTGAGGCTGTGAGTGCTCCCTGAGGGGAGGATGTAGGGGGAGCTGTGCTCGGATCCAGCCTGGCCTCGCCGCTCGGGAACACTGGGGTATGAGAGGTGGCTTCCCTTTGGATACGGGAGCTGCAGGTGCAGAGATGAAATGTCTCAGGAGGTGCCCATGAGGAGCTTCACAGGAGGACTGACTTTAGTTTTGAGCTTCCACTTTCCAGTCCTCCTGAAGAAAACTTTTATTTTTCGAGTCCTTCAATACATAAACAACGTTTAATATCTCAGTAGGTATGAATGGCCAAGTCATTTCTTTAAAAGCAGACTGGATCAGCTTGTTCTGCTGTCTCTCATTCCCACCCATGCAGAAGTCATAGACTCCACGTGGGCTCTACCCTCTCCTTCCTTGTGGGAGGGTGAGAAGCTCATGAGCATTTTAGCAGTGCCCTTGCTGTTAGAGCATGCTCTGTCCTGGACCTTCTCCCATCCTCCAGGGCCACCTGAAGCTCCCCTCTACCCTGACTGGG